CGTCAAGGTCCACCCCTCGATTGTGTCCGACTCGTCGAGGTTCTCAGTGTGTTGCACGGCGACCTCATGATACCAGGAAGAAAAGTCGTCGGCGCAGTAGCCCCAGGTTGAGTTGCCTGTGTGGCACCCTGTCAACGGAGGCCGGGAGTATCAAGCTTCAAGGCAAGAGAGGGCTCGGAGGCAGCGATGGGCTCACGCACATGGCGGGTAGAGCGCCGAATCCGTTTCGCAACCGCTGGTCTTGACGTCGTCAAACTCGTTGGTGGACACGTTGTAGTACACGATTGTCTTCATGAAATAGAATTTAAACAAGACAACTCTCTCTTATATGAAATAGAAGCGTTTAAAACATTCGGATTTTGAGAAAAAAAACAGGAAAATTTGTGCAGGGGTCGGTACCAAGAGCAGGTGTGCTCAGGGGCAGTCAAGAACGTCACCCCGGCCGTTGCCCCGGGCACCACTGCCCCCCATCCCGCCTGCACTCGGCAAGCAGCTGCCGCAGCTGAGGTCCCACACCCGACGCAAGCCACTTCGTCGGACCCGGTATGGTAAATCGGCTGGAAGCCGGTTGTGGCTCCGCCAGCAGATGCGCCGGCAGCTGGGCGCACCTCCGGAGGCGGCCACAGGCTGACCGTGGCGAGCGCGCCAAGGTGGCATTATTGCGCCCCCGAACTCGGCGCGTCAGAACGGTCATCAGTGTGTCGAAGGCGTCGCCGCGGCTCTTTTGCTCGCCAAAGCACGATCCCTCGATGGAGGAGAAGAAGAGCGCGCGCCACGCGCATGCGAGTTCGAGCTGCATCCGCTTGAGGCGCTGCTCATCCGCCGCTGCGGCGGACAGCATGGCGGGCAGCCGCGAGAGGTTGCCTTCCCAGAGAGAGAACTGCGACCACGGTAGCACCTCCTCGAACGGCAGCGCGTCGCGGTGAGAAGCGTTTGCGCCGCCGTGGAATACGGGGATGCAGCCGTGGAAGATGGCGCCCATGTGCCGACTCGCGTAGCCCTGCCCTTGCCCTCGCGGTGCCCAGCAGAAGACGGAAGAGAGCTGCGCGAGATGTATGAAGTGCGCACGCGTAAGGTCGCGTGCGGTCGTGTGCGGGATGGGGGGGGGGGGGGGGGCAGGGCACGCGACAGCTGAGTTTACGGCGCGCGCCGCACCGTCATATTGGTCTCGTCGACGCGTCTGACCTCGTCTCGCGTGTTGATCAGCTCGACGCCGCGCAAGTTGCGCGCGCTCTTCCACAGCTGGTAGCGGGGTCCTTCATTGTCGAGAGGGCCAGCGTGACCACCGAACCAGAGCAGCGTGTCTCGGTTGAAGTGGAGCGAGTGGCGGGCGAAATTGGACGAGAACGGCGAGTCCGTCGCCATTTGACCGCACGAGGGCAGATCGTCCCGCTGGCTCTGTGCCCTGTGGCCCAGCAAGTAGACCGGCAGGACCACGTCGAGGCCCTGCTGGAAGTGTACCGGGTGGTCCCGATTGCCGATGAATTGCAGGCCCGCCCAACGCCTCGTGCGCGACCACGGCATCCAATCGTCCAGCTCGTTGCAGTCGTCCTGCCACACAGAGCTCGGCATTGCGTGCAACCTTTGGAAGACACGATTGAGGAGCGGGCGCAGCGCGTCCAAGCTATTCGACACGAAGATCTCGGCCACCTCGCTCGCCGCCGCCACCGCCTCGCTGCCTCGAAGCCGCGGATCCGGTGAGACCAGCCGCGCAGGCCGGTTGCACCCGAGGTCTCTCAGCGCGAGCACGTGAGGCGCTCGCGAGAGCTCGGGCCACCAGACCTCCTCGACTTCGAACCAAGGCGCAGCGAGCTCTAGCGACTCGCTGAATGCACGGTCCGCAGGCAACACCTGCAGGTAGCGCGCTCCGAGCCCGAGCGGCTCCGCCGTCAGCAAGTGGTGGCGCAAAGCAAGTACTCGGTGGACATCTTTCTGCACCACAACGAAAGGCCCTCGGTGCGCGCTGGGCCGCAGGGGGGCGGGCGAGGGGACAGGGAGGCGGGCGGGCGGGGAGGAAATGCACCGCGAACTGCGGCGCCAGCAGCCAGACGTAGTCCGCACGCTCCAGCGTCGGCTCGCGGCAGTCGGAGGTGAGAACGCGCTCGATCAGTCGGTGGTGCAGCTCCTCGCCAATCGAGATCCCGAAGCGCAGCAACGGCGGGAGCGTCGGCACGTGGATGCGCGGGCATGTGCCGCGCGGCCGTGCTCGTGTGCTGGGGTCACGCGCAGCTCTGACGATCCGGGGCCCGTGCGGCAGTGAGTGCCGGTGCGCAGCGTGGGTTACGCCACAGTCCGGCCCCCAAAATCCTGCTTTGCACTTGCAGAACCCCATCCAGTCACACGCACCGTTGCCGCCGCAGTCGATCAGGCAGCGCGGTGAGAGCATGAGCGCGCCGGGCTGCGACGAGGCGCGTGGCTCGAAGGGGCACGCACCGTCAGTTTGAGCGTGCCCTTCCTCCTCGTATAGCTCATACAGCCCGTGCGGAGTGAAGCAGCCGCACACAACACGTTGGCCGTGACCCGACTCGGCGGACTCGGCGCACCAGCCTCGGCCTCCGCACTGACTGCTGCACGCGTCCAGGGGTAGGAGGCGAGAGCGCTCAGGCGCAGGCGAGCTACGCAGCAGCGGGGGCGCCGAGCCGCGCACGGTGCGTCGCGCAAACGCCACTGCATCTCTTCTATCCCGGGCGTCGAAGCGAAGGTCAAACTGCTGCTCGAGATGCGCGTCAGCACTCGCCAGCAGCGTCGCGTTCATAGGCCATACCGTCTCGCTCCACAGTGAGGCGGGAAGTTGTAGACGATGCGCCGCAAGCGCCGCGGCGAATGAGAAGCGATGCCAGCTCACGTTGGTGAACACTGCGGGGACGGTGAGAAAGTTCTTCAGACTCAGGCTGGGCGGAAGGTGCACGCAGTGCGGCTCAAAGCTGGCGAGGTCCTCGAGCCGTGTGCGCTCCAGGAGGAAGGGTGTCTCGACCAGAGCGTGCAGGCAAGCACATGGCACCGGCCCGATGCCTCGGTCTGACACCTCTTTCGCCTTCCCCCCGCGGTGTAGCCGAAAGAGCGCCAGCAGGATCCAAGATCGAATGGGCAGGAGGTGATTGCCCAGCTGGCACGCAGGAAGCGTCGCTATCTGGCAGGCCTCGCCAGTGAAGCCGATTGGGCAGTCGCAACGCGACCGCCACTCGTCGCAAGTCCCGTGGACTCCGCAGCCTGGAGCACAGCGCGGGGGGCGCGGCAGGCTCTCCCCACTGCCATCAATGTCGCCGCCATCGGGGGCCCTCTGACCCCCGCCACTGGATGGTGGACCACGGGTGTCCTGCGCCACGACGGTGACGTTCAAACGGTGATGTATGCGCAGGCGCTTGACCATCGGAGATGAGCTGCACTGACGGGCCTTGGCGCCTGTTTGGTGCGTGTTGAAATGCGGGATCCAATGCAGGTGTTTTCGAGTGTTTGCAAGTCCACTCATGAGCGTTTTTTTTAGCTCCCTGAAAAAAACCGTTGCGGCAAATCCCGATTGAATTTCATTTTCTTTTTGACATAAATAAAGAAACCAGCGCGACGCCGAACACATAGACCTAAAACACAGAAGGATGAGCACCAAACAACTCTCTCTTCTCTCTGTCTGCCGCCCCCGGCGCTACTGGGCGTCCGTCCGGTCGGTTGGACCCGGCGGCAGCTTTCTAGAGCTCGTGCGAGGGAGCTTTGTTGTAAAACTCTAGAGCTCCTCCACGAGTCACTGCCCCCGCACATCGAGGGTTCGTTCGACTTGAGGCGAGGTGGTCCGCCGTCGTCGGGGGAGCGGGACTCGCGGCCTGTCCGCACGCGGCGCGGCGGCCGGCGCCCGTCAAGTCGCCCGTCGGTCCAGTGTCGGTCCTACATTTTCGTTTTAGGTATGTTGTTGGCAAACCAAGACACAGAGCTACATGGGTGGGCTTTCATCGGACCACCTTCAAGGTATGTGCATTTGGCGGTTCATATCAAGGGATCCGAGAGGGTATTGGGGTTTGAGGTTTTGCAGGGCTGCTCCACGAGACCTCGATGGAGGGTGGCCCCAGGCGTGTGCTCGCCAGTCGTCCCGCTCCGTCGTGTGTATGCTCCAATCGGTCCAGTTGAGTGTCTTCACGCTGCTTGCGTCGCACCGGACGCTGCCGACGCGCTGGACCTCGCCGCTGCCTCAGCACCGTGCCGCCGCGGTGCGCTGCGTGGCTCCGGCCGCGACGCCTCTCGCCTCGCTGCTGGAGCCCGGCACGGGGCAGGGCGCTGCGCAGCGGCTCATCCTGGTCGGTGGAAAGGGCGGCGTCGGCAAGACGTCGAGCTCGAGCGCCATCGCAGTGCGGCTCGCCGACACGGGCCTCTCCACGCTCATCGTCTCGACCGACCCGGCGCACTCTCTCTCGGATGCGCTGATGCAGGACGTGTCTGGCGGCTCGCCCGTCGGCGTGGCCGGGTGCGAGAACCTGCAGGCGATGGAGGTCGAGACGGCCGACGCGGTCGACCGCTTCCGCGCCGCAGTCAGCGGCTTCCGCGCTGCCGACCTCGGGCTGGGCGGACTCGCAGAAGAGGTGCTCGGCCAGCTCGGTCTCGACGAGTTTGCCGACATCCTCGACAACGTACCGCCCGGCCTCGACGAGCTGCTTGCCCTCGCTGAGACGCTGGCGGTCGTGCGCGGCGCCGAGCCAGACAGCGACGGCGCAGCCTCGCTCACAGGCTTTGAGCGCGTCGTCTTCGACACGGCGCCCACCGGCCACACGCTGCGGCTGCT